CAAGCCTAAATGAGGGGAATAGCATTGCTATGAATGAAATTGCAGAATGCAGCACGTAATAGGGAGATGTCCACGAAATGGCCCGCACGTAAGTAGAGGGGTTAATCTAAAGAACCGTATGTTCGGCTAAACGAGGCTGGTACGTGGCAATTATCAAAGAGGACCCGCGTACCCTGTGAGTACGTGGGGGGGAGGGGAGGGCGAATATGCTTGTAACACGTTGCCGGGGACCCCGGAGAGTCCGAAGGTTCCCCAGTAAATGGAACCCATGGTGTGTTTGAAGCACCCGTCTGTCAGCTCACGGTTTACTCGGGGAGATAGCCTTGTGGAGCAGCTAGGCACCCAACACCGGCAGGACCTTGTGTAGTGAATTTCTCACTCTGGATTAACCCTGAAATGAAAACACAATGCACTGCCGGCGGATGGGAAAATGACGTCAGGAACACATGACAGGAAGTAAACCGCATCACTTCCGAGATCGTCGACGACAGGTAAGCAGTGGTTCACTGGGTTTAAATAGGGATGATAGTGCCTCCCACAATTACAGGCCAAGCCATATATATATATATATATATATATACTTACACACATATACACTTTTACACATTATATATTCTGTGTAGAGAATACAGAATAATTCACTGTAGAGAGCAGTGTGTGTCACTTAATGTACATAGGAACTCAATGTGCAGAGCAGCCAGAATACAGATAGATTCACTATGCAGAGCAATGTGTCACTAAATATACAGATTGATTCACTGTGCAGAGAAGTGTGTGTCACTCAGTATACAGATAGATTCACCATGCAGAGCAGTGTGTGTCACTCAGTATACAGATAGATTCACCGTACAGAGCAGTGTGTGTCATTCAGTATACAGATATCACCGTGCAGAGCAGTGTGTGTCATTCAGTATACAGATATCACTATGCAGAGCAGCGTGTGTCACTCAGTATACATTTATCACTGTGCAGAGCAGTGTGTATCAGTATACAGATATCACTGTGTAGAGCAGTGTGTGTCATTCGGTATACAGATATCACTGTACAGAGCAGCGTGTGTCACTCAGTATACAGATATCACTGTGCAGAGCAGTGTGTGTCACTCAGTAGTGTGTGTCACTCTGTATACAGATATCACTGTGCAGAGCAGTGTGTGTCACTCAGTATACAGATATCACTATGCAGGGCAGCGTGTGTCACTCAGTATACAGATATCACTGTGCAGAGCACTGTGTCACTCAGTATACAGATATCACTGTGCAGAGCAGTGTGTGTCATTCAGTATACAGATATCACTATGCAGAGCAGCTTGTGCCACTCAGTATACAGATATCACTGTGCAGAGCAGTGTATGTCACTCAGTATAGAGATATCACCGTGTAGAGCAGTGTGTGTCATTCAGTATATAGATATCACTGTACAGAGCAGCGTGTGTCACTCAGTATACAGATATCACTGTGCAGAGCTGTGTGTGTCACTCAGTAGTGTGTGTCACTCAGTATACAGATGTCACTGTGGAGAGCAGTGTGTGTCACTCAGTATACAGATATCACTGTGCAGGGCAGTTTGTGTCACTCAGTATACAGATATCACTGTGCAGGGCAGTTTGTGTCACTCAGTATACAGATATCACTGTGCAGAGCAGCGTGTGTCACTCAGTATAAAGTGTGACTAACTGTGCAGAGCAGCCTAATGGGTATTTGCTAGGAATCCTGATTTCCTTGCATTACCCAGCTAGGATAAATGCACAGTTTAAAAATAGCTAAAATATTCATCACAGGTTACATATGGTGATTCTTTGTTTGAATAAATAAGCACCTTATGGTAATTATGCACTAGATTTCAGTACTGCTTGTAATAATACAGAGGGGTTTATTCAGTAAATGGGAATTATAAAATCGCATCGCAGACTTTAGGATAAAATACCTAAACCTGGAAGATTTCTCCAAGTCTGCAAATGTTTCAGTTTGACTACTTTAGCCGGAATATTGCATTTAGTTTTTTAAACTGATCCCAATTCACTGAGTAGTGGATAAAAGAGAATTGCAAGTGAATTTAACATTTTACCAAAATAACCAGGAAATAGCTAAGCTAGATATTTCTTCCAAATCAACTGTTTTGGTCAAAAATGTTCAATTTCCGGGGGGCGGAGCTTAGCAGCGAACCTGGATGGCAGCAAGCTCTCTATGCTCCGCTTACAACTACCCAAAAACGGCTGAAATTGCAGAAAAAAGAGACCTAGCTGGTATGGATCTCAGCCTGGGAAAGTATCAATTGGACCATGTTCATTGTAGGTCAATGAAGCTTTAATGTCACACAGCAATACAGAGGGCATAGAAACATAGAAACATAGAAACATAGAATGTGACGGCAGATAAGAACCATTCGGCCCATCTAGTCTGCCCAATTTTCTAAATACTTTCATTAGTCCCTAGTCTTATCTTATAGTTAGGATAGCCTTATGCCTATCCCACGCATGCTTAAACTCCTTTACTGTGTTAACCTCTACCACTTCAGCTGGAAGGCTATTCCATGCATCCACTACCCTCTCAGTAAAGTAATACTTCCTGATATTATTTTTAAACCTTTGTCCCTCTAATTTAAGACTATGTCCTCTTGTTGTGGTAGTTTTTCTTCTTTTAAATATAGTCTCCTCCTTTACTGTGTTGATTCCCTTTATATATTTAAATGTTTCTATCATATCCCCCCTGTCTCGTCTTTCCTCCAAGGGCATGTAGTGGGTAAAGCAGTCAATCATGTTGTTAGTCAAACTGTGACATATACAGTATTCAAAAATCAGTGTGTACACTTTTGTGGTATTTAAACCAATCAACCCGTGAACAGTATGTGATGGAGTGTGTGGTCAGTCTGTTGACCCTTGGGGAGTTACCGTTGTAAAAGTATAACTATGTTTAAACCAATAATTAGTGAAAGGTGTAGGTTAAGGGAGGGTATCAATATCCTGTGGGCGTGGCATGAGGGGACACTTTCTTAGTATAGTTTGTATCTATGTTCGATTTGAGAGCATGAAGGAAAATATGGAATTATTCAGATGTACTCCAGCTCAGGTAGAACTAGGTGTGTGTTTAAGGGAATTGGGTGGGCAGAACTTTATACAGCAGGAAAGTACAAGTTTACAGAAAAGGAGGAATTGATTTTAAAGCAATGGTTGTCTGGCTGAGGTCGACACTGTTTAGTAGGAAAGTAGGTCAGGCTCCCCTGTGCCTTGTCACGACCCCACACAGGGAGGGAGGGTAAAGGGGAGAAGTTGGTAGAAGAAGAGAAAAAAAAAAAGTTATGATTGTGTTTTGTATATTATGGAAATGTTGTTGGTCAGAGCATTTCTGGCGTGGTATATCTTCATGGGAAAAGATGTGTTTTAGTGTCTCAATGCTGGCCTCATGAAGAACTGATCCATGGTTCCCATACCTTTTGGAATGATTTGGGAGTATTGTGTACCTGTGATGTCTGTTGGTCCATGTCAAAAATGTCTCTGATTTTACGTTTCACAGTCGATATTGAAGTATTTGTTTGCACAGAGTTCGGCTAGTGCTCTACGTGCGGCAAATGCAAGTCTTGCTGTAAGTCTGTTTTCATTCCTGGTAAGAGAGTCTGCCGGCTTGGACAGAAGCTGTGTCCAAGGATCTGCCATGATGGCCTTTGTAAGGACTTTGAGTTTTGGGTACTGCCAACAACGATGCATAAACATCTTCCAACAAGGGGAGTTGTACTAGTCTGAATAATCTGCTTTGTGTGAGGTACTAGCAGTACAACATTTTATTAGCTTGCTCCTTATGTGTGACACATATGGTCAGGAGCCTATGGCCTCCCAAATGTCTGACCAGTTGCTAGGTTCCTCCAGTGGTCCAGATCAAGCTCCCATGCTGTTATATAGGGGCAACGTATTTGTGATTTGTGTTGTGATGTGTTTGTGTGTGTGTGTGTGTTTGGGGAGTGCATTGTATGTCAAAGATATCTGTTCCTTCTGTATCAGGAACTCCAAGCATTGACTCTCAAATGGTGTCAGTGGAGCCGTTCCTTCTTGTTTGACTATGGGTTTGACGACATATGTAGGCCTTCTAGTTCCGGCAAGTCATCACAATTGTTTATTTAAGGTTGGTAATATAGATGCATCAGTCTGGTAATGTCCCTGTGGACAAAGCTGTGGAAAATGTTTGGTGTAATTCCATGTAGGAACAGATTGTTTTGATATATTGGTGTCAAGGGAGACAGAAAGGACAAAAACTCAAATTTTGTCTTCAATTTGTCCTAAAGAGTGAGGGTGTTGGTGATTGCCAGTGAGGTTGGTTGAGGGAGTGACCTACGTATCTGGAGGACATGAGGAAAATTCCCAGCCAAAGATGTAGTGTTCTAGAATGACCCAGCGGTTTTCAACGGTTGGGGCATGCCAATGTTGAATCTGCGCATTTTGAGTAGCAAGGTAATACTGTACGAAATTTGGTAAGCCCAGGCCTCTGTGTGTTTTTGGGACATGCATCTTTGTTCTCCATATACATTGTTTTTTCCATCACAAAATTAATTTGTCAATTGCGACTTCAAGCGAGTCAGACAATCTTGATGCTCACTTAACCTAGAGTGGCTGTGCATCATATATACACACATATTGGTTGCCATTGGTAGCCTTCACTTCACTACAGGATAACATTATTGGTTTTCTAGGGTCAGTACATTTGAACAATAACTTCAAATATTGAAAATATTTCAACCTGTCTGGCATTAAATAAAGGTTTAACTTCATTGAAATTATTATCGTGTCTGTAGTTCCTGGGTACTCTCACCAAGTCAGTGTTAAACCATTTGTATTTAAAAAAAAAAAAAAAAAGTTTTTGTTGAGAATTTAAGGTACAATATGTCAAGCATGAAAGCAACATTAATAAGTCAGACTGACTACCACAACAGTTTTGAAAGTGCATATGAAACATTTGACATTCACATTTTATTATTTTAATAATTTAACAAAGAAAACAGAACAAAAAAAAATCCAGTCCAACTAAGTTACAAGTAATGCTCAGTGTGTAAGGCCGCAACAGTGTCATATAGAATGTCAAGGAAGCAAACAACCCACTGCGCCTAAAAAGTAAAAGTCATGCAATACTGTGCTTAGTTTGGGCAAAGTAGGACGTAGCGGTTAGAGAGAAGCAAAGGAAAAGAAAATGTATTCCAGTAATGACCAGTTGGGACATCGCTCACCAGTATACCAATTTTAACTAATGAAGTACTTAAAAAGGGAGGTGAAGAGTGGGTACGCTTCCAGTTTACCAAATGTGAGAAGTGTGCTGTTACTAAGACATTTGCTTGCCATGTTGTGACATCACCTATGTTGGACGAAGGCCAGGCAAGGCAATGGCATAAACCGCTATGGGTACATGAGCACCTCCAAGGCCACCAACCGATGGTACGGCACCACAACCAGGATTGTATATGAATAACTGTGTTCTGTTATAAGAAAGGGTGTAGTGGTATGTCATGAAGTAAACAGAGGCACAACGTGTCGGGAATTTCTACAACAATGATTAGGTTAAGGCAGGGCAGAGTAAGCAACCCTAATTAATCAAAGGTATGTGAAGCCACCATTAAAACAAGTGACCTTAGAGACTAGGATAATTAAGGAAAACATTTTTGGTAACCAGTCTGAGTAATGAAATGGGCAGCTAGATAGAAGTAAGCGACTTTGAACTGATAGGTATATTGGATTTTAAAAGGTAGTATGCGCGCGCCAAAAATAAAAATATTTAATGAAAAAAATGAAACAGGAGATGTTTCTATAGATAAAAAAAAATAAAAAATACCTTTAATGAAGGATCACAACTAAAACAATGTATAATTACTTTCCCCAAAGAAATATAACACAACCTCTAGGTAGGGGTATAAAACACACAAAAGTATCGATTACTAACAAAGGTAGTAACATAAGCTTCCCAAATGGGGAAAACTGCAACAGTATCAATTAATATAGAAGCAACATGTTGCAGCCAAAAATGGGAAGCTTGGGGAAGACACAGAGAGGGTTGAACAACTAAATGTTGCAAATCTCTGTGAGATCTTGCAGAAAAATGTATATAAAACACTAGTAGCAAGCAATGATAGATAATAGGTGTATATCTCTCTAGAAGTGAGAACTATATGAAACATACAGAAAACATATACAGAAAAAAAAGAAATATACAAAACTTGCACCAAGCATAAACAATAGATATAAAAAAACACTAATATACCGTTGATATTTTTAGAGCGCACATACTACCTTTTAAAATCCAATATACCTAAGAAATAGAGAGACTAGACAAATTAAAAACCAAAAACTAAAATAAACTGAACTAAGTACTAACCCCACTATCCTCCAACTCACACCAGAGAACTGCCTTAAATACTAAATCATAGATATCTAACAAGGAATGCTTCATAAGGGGTCATGACACACCACCACTTCCCCAAAAAGCCATGCCGTCTTCTCCAAAGTGTTTTTTACCTTTAATCGAAAGGAATAGTCCATAACAAAATATATCATTTCCAAGTCAAGAGAAATGTTCTGGCTAGGAGTTCTTTGCTGGTCAATGTATGTAGTCAATCCAACTTAACCCCTTAAGAACACATGACATGTGTGACATGTCATGAGTCCCTTTTATTCCAAAAGTTTGGTCCTTCAGGGGGTTAAATATAAACTGAAGTCTAGATAAAAAAAAAATGTAGAGTCGGAGCACTCGGCTGGTTCCAGACTTGGAGGATGGCTTTGCGTCCAATAGCTGCTATAATAAGATGGAACTGTTTGTTGGTTAAGAGTTGACACAGCATTGGTCTCAACAGCAAAAACTCAGGGGAAAGTGGCAAATCAGGCATATTCCTATTTTCTAAATAAAGCTTCACCTCAGGCAAAAATGATTGGATCGATGCGCAGTCCCACAGACAGTGATATTGGTCAGCTTCAATCAGAGGCTTGAATGAGAAGCCTCTGATTGGTTAGTTTCCTGTGAAGAGACTGCAAGTCTCTTCCAGGAAAAAGGGAAGTGCTTGCTAAGGCTGCAGTTAAAAAAAAATGCAGCCTTTGCAAGCTCTTTTAAGATATACCCCCAATGAATACATGCATGAAAATGCATGCATGTATTCATTGGGGGTATATCTACTAAACAGTGATTTTTTCCCCCTTCTATTGTGGGAAGTAGAGTGCTCCTTAAGAAACATATCCCTGTAAGAGACCATTGGCAAAGCCTGACTTTGAGTAACGTATGCTAGAAGTATCTCTCCAGTATTTATGTGTGGGAAGTGTGTGTTTCCATTTCCCTATACCGGTCTCTATGTTTATCGTATTAACATGTAAAGAGGTGCACAACATAGTATCATAAGGGTTCTCTCAGTCAGTAGCTGTAAAAGACTGTGTGATAGTATGGTAATGATGGCATATTTGAAAATAAACTAACCATGGAAGTAAAAGATCTGGGAAACATTTCCCGAGCTCTGCAATCTTTAAAAATGTCTGACTATTGTAATCAACAAAGGAGTGGACATACATGATCCCACAGTTGGGTTAAACCATTTTTAATGTTTCAGTCCTAAATGAGAGTCCCTAGCAGAACATCCCCACTGAGCTGATTGGGTTAATGAAGAACAATTAGCCTTAGCAGCAAAGAGATTCGCAGTGATTGGCTTAGAGTGCTAGCGGACTGCTTTCCAGCCTATCCCCGAACCCATTGCTGGTATGAATTAGTATGGCATGAAAAAAGTGTGATATCTCTGCCTTAGCCATACCTTCATTAGAGCCAGACTGTGGGACACTATTCACTGCTAAAAAATGGCATAATACTGAATGGAAAGAGTACAGCAGAGGACTCCAGGCACTATAACCAATTCAGTTCCTACGGCGTTCCTTTAAGAATTGTGTTTTTTTTTTACCCATTCCCAAGAAAGCTGCCATCTTCCGAAGGACACAAATAATGGATTGTTGAGATTCTTTTTTTTTGTTGTTTCTGAAGTATAATCTTATCTATGGCACAGAGCTTTATAGTATTGAATTATAATCTGTTGGGGAAAGACGGAAGACAAAACCTTGAATTCATTCATCTGGAATTTAACAAAGCAATGGGTAGTAAGGGACTCTGGTGGGTTAGGGGAGGGCAAGCTGGGTGGGGACAATCCGTTCTTATCGGCTGTCACAGAGTGTAGAGATGGGGAAGTACAGAGGACAGGGAGAGCTGAACACCAAGGAATGGGAGGCAGGAAATTTAAAGCAGCTGTGGAGCTTGGAGATTAAAGTGTGTCTTGGAAACACAGACGAAGCCTCGCCATTCTAACAACCGTGACTGTACATTGGGATTCTCTCACATAGTGAATAATCACCATGAACACACGCAGCTGTGTCACGACGTTCCAATGGAGAAATTTTAAAAAAAAAAACAGATTTCAATATATCCAGGTTTAATTTATTCAATGAGTTACCTAGCAGTTTGCTTGGAATAACAGACAGTTATTTAAATAAAAAATCCACATCACGTACATGCCTATGGTTTGGGGCTATTAATTTTAGATCTCTCCTGACCTCAAAATGTTACTGTGATATTAATAAAATGTAAGCTCTACAGGGAGTTTAGATACCTACACACATCTAATATTAGTATGTAAAATATGCACTATTAACAATATGGAAGTAAAATATGCAAACACCTCACTGAGGATCACAGCAAACAAAGCCTAATGTTACCATTTACAAAATGTGTGATTGGCAGGAAGCCCCTCTCCCACCCTTCTTCTAATTAGACTGCTCCTGCCCGCTGGGGGTCTCTGTATCTCTAAGAAACGTGGGTACATTTTTTACAGCTCTCCCCCAGGCTGGGAGGAGGATGGAGGCATCTGGCAAAGAGCTGATACTAGGACCAAGAATCTGTTTTCAGGAAGGGAGGGGGAGAATTGGGTGAGGAAGGAGAGGTAGTGATTGGATCAAGGAAGTCGAAAAATGAATTGAAAATAGAAAGCACAGAAATATGCAATACATGGACAGCAAAGAGCAGAGAAATAGGGAGCAAGATTGTTGAGTAGTTTGGAGAGCTAGGTAAAGAGAGAAGTGAAGAATGAGGAATAGAGATCAGATGAGAGAGAATAGTGAGAATAAGAGGAAGGGATGGGTTGAAATAATGTGGTGAAGGGATGGTGATGACAACATGGGAGAGAAATAGGGAGCAATAGAGGTGGTGAATGGGAAGAGGTAGGGTTCAGTAATAGTATGAGAGGATAGAAATGAGAAACAGGAATGAGAGAAAGGCTGAAAAGAGCTGGAGAGAGGTGGGGAAAGATGTGCAGGTTTGATGAGAGATGAATGAGGAGCAGGGTTGGTGACTAGAGAGTTGAGGGAGGAGAAACATGGAGCAAATCAGACTGGCTGCAGCTGTGTAGAAAGGGGTGATTACAGGGAAAATTAAGATGGTAATAGGAACAGGTGAAAGGGTTAAGGCTGAGGAGGTGATCGGAATAAAAAGTGTTTGAGAAATAGAAAGCAGGGTAAAGGACAAAGTGTGAAGGGGATACAGCAGATAGTGACTGATTCCACCTGATGGTGGAAAAAATTCTCTCACAGAGAATGCAGGGAACAAGACTAATTAGGTACGTTTCAATGGACTATTCTTAGTATGCAAGTCAAGAAAATATACACTATATGAAAAACAATGAATGAAGATTGTATTAAAGTGTAATAATAATGACAATTTAATTTAATACTAACCACATCTCTTTAAATAACTGTTACAAGTAACACGGTTCCAACAACTAATCTAAAAATGGGTTACTTTTTATACATTTCCTCCTTGAAATAACGTGCCATTTGGTAGTCAAATTATTATGAGGTGGACTCATGGACAGTCTCCCGGAGTTGGTGATGTGAATGGAAGCTACAGTGATGGATCTATTACTTGTTGTAATGACTTTAAAAGTCAGATTGACTGATTGTTACATTCAACCAGACCCACAGCCACCTCCTTGTTCAATCTCATCTTCT